AAATATTGGGGGGGGGGGGGGATATATCCCCCCCATCCCCCGGGATCGACACCCAAGGAGATGGCTATCGCCGATCATCCTCCCCCCCCCCCCCCCCACTCCTGGGTACAGATTTACGCCCCTGTGCTCTATGTAATGCCAACAACTGAATTTCCGAATGGACCAATAAAATTAATCTGAATCAGATCTGAATCTAAATCTGTTTATGCAATTAAAAAATGTATTCTCCAGGTAGTTTGTAACTTCCGCCTTACAGTAGAAATATATTATGAATTGTATTCAATGTGAATATTTGTATTTGATAAATATGTATATATTATTAAAGTGTTCACTTCAAAGTGCCCACTTTAACAACAGATAAGTGTGTTTCTGTTTTTATTAAACCTGTGCTTTGAAAAGTTGTTTGAAATGACAAGATTATACTAATTTATTAGATGATCATATATTCCCGAAATAGTTTACTTCTCCATATCATTCTAGACATATATTCGTTATTATCCAGCTATGAGTAGGCCTAAGTGTATTTCATATATTATATTTTAATTGTTGTTATTTTATCATTCATTACTGCAGGGTCACGAGGTCTACTTACACTATATTTAAAGAATGTTACTGCTGAACTCTACCGGTTTTTGCTTTCCATGCAATGTATCGTAATTAATTCATCATTAATTTACTACTTTTGTAAACATAAATATGTATATATATATATATATATATATATATATATATATATATATACATCACTAAACTTGCTCGTATATATATATATATATATCCGGGCAGCGCCAGGAGCGTCACAACGTGACGGACATGTGCGCTATATAAGAAGCCACCATTATTATTATTATTATTATTATTATTATATATATCAAAATATACAAATACATATACAAATAAATATATAAATAAATATATAAAAATACATATATAATTATAGGCGTGAGACGGAAGGATGTCATCAGGAAGGTCATAGAGAACTTCTACTATTTATTAGACAATTCAGCTTTCAGCTTTTTGGCCTTCTTCAGGTTGTGAAGCATGAACATAATTATGACATTTATGAATATATTTCTGTAATCACATCGATGTGAACATAAACATAATTATATTGGAGGCGCGATGGCTCAGTGGTAGAGCAGTGGTCTCATTCCCGGGAGCTCCCGGGTTCAAAGCCAAGTCGATGCTCTATTGCCAATCGGTAAGGCATTATTCCTCATTACCAAGTCCCTCTGAGAGGAGTTAAAGCCATCGGTCCCCTGGGGCCTGTTTTTTCGAAACCAACGACAAGACAGTCATAACTTCATCCGCCAACTACGGAGATGTCTCTGATCTTCCTAAACCGTTTCACGAAGAGCTTACAAGCTAGACATATCGTGAAATCGATACTATCTGCACGAAGAGGAGCCGAGACATAGCCTTAGTTGTAATTCCACTCGATCAAAACAAATTGAAGGGAATCTGTGTAGATTATACAATAAAACTACTATAATACAATCGTGAGTATTTCATTTCAAGACCGTTGAATCAGAATTGTTTTTTGGATGGGCACCCCCGAATAATTGCATTTGATATAGGATTTCCCGGCCAAATTCGCGTGTTTGTCATTCGAATTCATTTACTTTGCATTTAAGTTAGCGCAGATCGGCTTTGCCATGCCAATTATCATTAAATTTTCCAGTTTTTGTATTTAATTTAGGATTTTGGTCGAAGGATTTCATAGATCTGTCATTCAATTTAGAAACTGCTCAACTAGCATTCAAATTAATATTCACTTGTCGAAGCGTAATTTCTATCATTCAAATTAACACCTGTCATTCGTATTCGTAGGCAAGTTAGGAATGTTAGGGGGAAGAATTGCAACAAGCTTTTACAGTTTTTAAATAATGCAGTTAAAATGCATGATTTGCCATTGGGGTCTAAGCTGTTATTCCATTTATTCATTTTCAGGACAATGCAGATGGGTGTAGTCAGACATAAAGTAAAGAAGGGGCGAAATCAAGGGATATGGCATTTCTGCCTTGACATGTTCATATACCCAGGAAAGGTGGGGGTACCCTCAATCGCCCCTTTTTACTACGGGCTCGGAATTTTACAAAAGTAATCCACATCGTCTCTTATACCCAGCACACCCCTCTGTTTTTCTTAAAGAGCTGCATAGTTTACTTGCCCGCCAGCAGATCGATGGTTAAAGACTTGGCTAAATAATGAATCATGTTCAAATTGTTGACTCTAGTCCCTACCCCAGTCACAATATTGTACCTTCTTCCATAATGAAATTATGTTGAAATTATGCTAAATTTATGATGAAACATAAGACAAACAACTTCCTTACATGAACATTTACAAATATATTGAGACCATCAGGTCCGTAGATGCAAGTCGTTTTTTTTTTCTTCTTAACAATCAAACTTAAATGCTGATGAATATCAGATAAATCTAATAAGTATAAGTGTATAAATGCAAGAAAATGAAATATGATGAAATACACATGAAAAAAAAAACAACCTTGAAAGAAAAAGAATGAGCTATAAAAAGTGTGTAATAAACAAGAAATGTATATTGACCATCAATTTAAGTGCACAAAGTGCTAATTTGAATGCTACAAATGAATTAGAATGCTAGAAGTACACCGTCGTGTTGTAAGAAAATCGTGTTGCGCCAAATCGAATGACCAAATAGCGAAAGAAGCACATTGTTCATTAATTTAAATGAAACATACGTAAATTCTAACGAAAATTCCATAGATTTGAAAACTAGAAAAAGGAATATAAACCCGAGATATACCTGACGGCACTAAAACCGTCGAATTTGAACGCAAGACAAATTAATTTGAATGACAAACTCGCGAATTTGGCCGGGAAATCCTATACTAAAAGGGATAGTTGAGTTCTGTTGCAGAGGGCGCTACACAAAATAATGTTTTTGTGAGATAATGAAAATCTGAGTGTCAAATGTTACAAAACTTAATTTTTAAATGACAAAATCATCTTTTTTTGATCAAAATTTGATCCGTAAGGACTCGTAAGAAAAGTCCGTGTATGTGAAGGGGTATAAGCAATCTAACATCATTATGTTTGTAAATTACTCAATAGTCCTAAATCATTTTTATCATTAATGTATACATCACTGACATTGCTCTTCCTCCTTTCTATCATATGACAAGAAGAATATTATCATTAAATCACATATGACTGATTTCAAACGAGTCGATGATTGTTGTTTAGTTTCGAAAGACAAAGAATTTGGGAATATCAATTATCGAAACTCATCATTTGAAGCCTGATATTCACATCTTCCATTTCCATGATTTTAAAGCTAGCCTAAATACCAACCTTTCACACAGTTAATTAAAAAGGTATTTCTCAAGTTAATCATGTATAGGGTTTAAAGACAATTTACAGAGCGCTGTAAGAATGTCAATTATTTATATATTTATTAGCCTTTCTGTTATGTGCACATTAAGCAAAAGTAATTCAGGATTATTGAGTAATGTAACGAAAAACTTGAATCTACTTTTTTCAGGGACAACATGAACAGTGAAGTTTATGCTTTGAGAAAAACGGTAATGAATAATAATAATCTATAATAAAGTACGTTTTTCTTAAAAAATGGAAATATCTCTTCTCTAAGGAATACACGACAAAGTATCATATACACAAACTATTCTGATCATGAATACTTTGATGATGTACATATAAATTGTACATATGTCATTTCGTCATTGAATTGTATATAATAATAAATCGAACCAATTAATAATTATTTTTGTAAATCATGTTACCATCATCATCATCATTATATGTTTTTCTTCAAAAATGGAAAGACCTCTTCTCTGAGTAATACACCACAAAGTTTCATATAAACAAAATATTCTGATCATGAATACTTCGATGATGTACATATAAATTGTACATATGTCATTTCGACATTGAAATGTAAAAATATATCGAACCAATTAATAATTTTACAAAAAATCATGGTACCATCATCGTCATCATTATACTTTTTTCTCCAAAAATAGATAAACCTCTTTTCTGAGTAATAAACCACAAAGTATCATATAAACAAACTATTCTGATCAGGAATACATCTATGAGGTACATATAAATTGTACAAATGTCATTTCGTCATTGAAATGTAATAATACATCGAACCAATTAATAATAATTTTTTAAAATCATGTTATCATCATCATCATCATCATTTTACGTTTTCTTCAAAAATGGAAAGACCTCTTCTCCGAGTAATACACTACAAAGTTTCATATAAACGAAATATTCTGATCATGAATACTTCGATGATGTACATATGTCATTTCGTCATTGAAATGTAAAAATATATCGAACCTATTAATAATTTTACAAAAATCATGGTACCATCATCGTCATCATTATACGTTTTTCTCCAAAAATAGATAAACCTCTTTTCTGAGTAATACACCACAAAATATCATAAAAACAAACTATTCTGATCAGGAATACATCTATGAGGTACATATAAATTGTACAAATGTCATTTCGTCATTGAAATGTAATAATACATCGAACCAATTAATAATTATTTTTGTAAATCATGTTATCATCATCATCATCATCATCATTTTACGTTTTCTTCAAAAATGGAAAGACCTCTTCTCTGAGTAATACACCACAAAGTATCATATAAACAAAATATTCTGATCATGAATACTTTGATAAGGCACATATAAATTGTACAAATGTCATTTCGATTAGTTACTTTATTCGACATTAAATTCTTTTGAAATGTGTAACCTTTGCAATGTTCTGTTTGTTATATATTTGTAAACATGCAAAACAAAAGGGAAATCAAACAGAAATAAATAAATCAAGTCAAATCAAATCAAATCATCATACATTTGTCCTTAAAAAAGGAAAAACCCTCTTCTCTGAGTAATACGCCACAAGTATCATATACAAAAAAAAATCTGATCATTGAATAAGCTTTGATAATGCTTTGATAAGATTCATATAAATTTTACAGATAATTTTTTTTCTTGAAATATAATAAAGATGATAACAAATAGCAATCACCTGGTTGCCCTAATATGTGGTGACGGTATATTGGTAATTGCAAAATGCTCGGGAGCAGGAAAGGGGGTTCAGCCAACACCAGCCCACCCCTCCCCTGCATAGTATTCCACTCTAACATAATGTTCTCTTAAGACCTTATTCTTGCTTTAAAAAATATTGAATAAAATGCCTCTGTGTTTGGTGCCATCCTCTGCATCCTTAGGGAGACTGACGGCAGCATCATTGTTGGTAGAAAGCAACATCATCGTTACCCCTAAGTATCTTTGCTGGCATCAGTTGAATCCATAGTAACACTGGTGGTGTCAGCATCCGTGGTGGAGGAAACACCATCACCTGTCTCAGTGACATTTGTGACAGGTGCATCAAGAGGTAGACTTACCGTCACGACATCGGTGCTTGTTGCATCATGATCTGTGTCCTTCTTCTGTTCCTCGGAGGAACTCTGGATATCTTTGTTCATTGGTGGTGTGACTTCTTCCTCAACCTGGCTAACGTCATAGGTCGGATTGAACATACACATAGAATCGGGATTGTCGTCTTTGGTAGGCAACAAGTAACTATCCGAGGCTCCTGGGCGCAATTTGCTTATCATGCCAGATGACGAAGATAGCGCCGTCGAACTCACCACATCGCTGGAAGTGCTTGCTTCTTTCTTTAGGAACTTGTCGAAACAAGTTAGCCCCCATTTCTTACGGATGAAAGGCTTCCGGACGCAGTAGAGTAGAAAGATGAACAATCCTTGGAAGGAGTTCAGGACGACGAAGATTGGTTGAGCCACCTGTTAAACGCAAATGTTTCATAAATAATAATTAGGTATATGGCATTCTCTCTCATGTTCTACAAATACTTAATATCTAAAGAGGTATTGCTGGTGTATCTAATCATTATAACTGATTTCTCAAGATACTTTTAATACGAGATAGATACCACGCAGTTGCCTTTACCTGACTGAATAGCGGGATTAAAAGAAGATATCCGGTGATCCAGGTCAGCCCGAGCAGGAACAAGATGCAGATTGCGTTTTGGACGCGTTCGATAGTCTCTCGACGTTCTGCCTTAGCCTCTCTTTTCACCCGACCAGCGATGTTGGCTGACCGGAGCAATTGTCGAACCACCAGGATGAAGATGACAATGTTGATGAGGAGGATGATGGCCATGGGAATCAAGAGACCACCGATTTGAGCCCAGAATTGTAGAAAGCATCTATTGATAGTAATATGCATTTTGTAAATAGACTGAGTTAAGTCAATTGATACTATCTAAGTGATAGTTTTTTTTTCCATGGTCCTTGAAACATTTTATCGTAAATGATTTCCCATTATATAGCTTTCCTGTTCCAAACGTAACCTACAATATCCAAGATTTTAGTATGTGTGGTGAGTGTATTCGCTTGGTGGCCGTCCTCAAGCTTGGATCACACCACATACCAGCGAACGTGATACTTAATTATCAATTCCAGATCATAATTACAAACTTGCTAACTTATGAGATACCTAGATACCAAATGCCTAAAAACCAGAGTAAATAACAATGATAACAATTTATTTTAAAAAAGGTTCTTATAAAACATTTTCCACCAAAGTCTCTAAGCGCTAAAGGCAAGCCTTGCCCCGGGGTTGCATCCTTCTTCATCAATGCAACCCCTGCGCCAGGTAAGAACCATGATGAAGTACAGAAACGTAATTTGCTGATTCCGAAATTTGAAGATCATTAGGTATACCTAATGATATATGCAATCCAATATTCCAACTAAACTTTCAAACATTACCACTTACAGATCATCATGAGCATAAGAGTCTCTAGCAATAGCTCCAGTAAGAACCACGATAAGTGCAGGAATTCCTGTAATGACATACGTGTATAAAGAAATTTACACAAACATGACTAAAAATACGAATTCATGTGCACTGTTGGACTATAATCCGTTCTAATGTGATCTTTCCATAATTATTCTCCATTTAGTTAGCATGGCTAAATGAATATAATATATCCTGCCAGCGCTCTTGAATTATTTTGTTAGTTAAAAAGCACAGAAAATTAACGATTACCTTTTTATATGAATATTAAAAGACAGAATTACATTTGTTTGCCCATTCATCATTGTTTGTATTGCTAAAGGTTTATCGTAGCAAACCAGGTTGTCACTTATTGTTTTGAGCCTAATTTCAGAACCTAAGTGTATGAGTATAAAGAAGTTTGTCGGAGGATTCTGATTTACAGACATTATATCTGTTTGTAAAAACATGCAGACACTTCATGTTATTGGTAATCACTATTCCCAGTAAAAAGATATAAGGAAAAAAATATCGTACCCCACGCAGCTAAGGAAGCCTTGATCATGAAATTCTGGATGTAGGTGTTAAAGATCTTCACAATAATGAGGTAGGTATTGTACCCTTCCACACCCATCCATGCAATAGAGGACAAAACGAAGTAGTGAACTAGGGCCGTCAGGAACCCGCAGGGTCCAGCTTGGACCTCACGATAATCTCTAGTAGAATCCAGAGAGATCATGATGACAAATGTCGTGTAGAGACATAGCAATGTCAGGCACAGACAGATGAAGATCTTGTTAGTCTGCTTGGTCCTCAAATCCCTATCAAGATTGCAACATTAAAATAAGGTTAGGAAAGCGTCGAAGCAATATTGTACCAAACATGTACAGGTTTACCATCACCTGATTGGCAACACAGAAGAAAAAGACAAACAACAAGAAAAACAAACTGAAATTGAGGGGAAATGTTTGTAAAATGAAGGAGATTACGTGATTGTGCTTTACTTATGTATCTCTTTTATTAATGGGCACAACCCTCAGAATAGCCACGCATGTTAAATATAAAATAATCTGAGTCGAACTATTCAGGACGATGCAAAATGGGAAAGTAGTAAGCCAAAAATGTTCGAAATGAATATGCCTTCCATACCATGCAAACTGCACACTAAGAGGCAAAGGATTTGATCTACAAAGTTATTAGAGTATCAATGTAGAATATATATGAACAAATTAATATTAATTGTAACCTATTTAAGACCCTCGTTACTCATCCCTTACATCACCAAGCAACCAATGATATTATGGAAGTTTCTCTTCTTCTTGTTCCATTTCTTCTTCTTCTTCTCCTCCTCCTGCCCTCCTCTTCCCCTTTCAATCATAAACTGTACATTACTCCAAACAGAAGTGAAACCAAACAGATCTGTCCTGCAGGTTTATACGTATTTCATCTCATTTGATCAAGAGATACTTTGATTAAAAAGGTGGTTATTTGAAGTTGCATGATTATTTAATGAATTCTAAAAATGCATCTCTTTCATAGTTTATGTACCTATTGCACGTTCAAAACCCTACAAGATAAAAACGACCAGGGACTAATTACACATTCTGTCTCCTTTGTGTAATATTAATGATTGCATTATTTCTTCTTAATGGGCTCACTTGTTCCACAGGTAGGTTGCCAATGTGACAAGAAGACTGAAGATAGAAATACAGCATCCAATGTAAGTCAGGATGTTGTATGCCTCGATTAATGAATCCTCCTGTCCATGGATATCCTGTAACATGAAAGAAAATTAAGCCCAAACTAAAACATCTACTTCAAATGCTCAAATAAAAACTAATTATTTTACCATTAGCTGTCATATAGTCTATGTGTCGTTAATTGAAAACTGAGGAATGTGGGTTTTATTATGATAGAAGTGGTGGAACCTTGTATTAAGTCACTTTACTACCTTTCAATCGAGACAAGAATGTTAATATTATTCATACCCAGTTGAAGACCAGCTATATACTCCATCGTTCTTCGGAAGTAAAGGGGGAATTGAAAAAGAGGGAATTGTATAAGGGGAAGAGGTCGAATAGTGACCGCTTGTCCACAAACACTTGGTAGTATTGTTTCACCTGTCTGGAAAGAAACTAGCTAGTAGCCGTTTCCATTCGCACAGCCACAGGCGTGATATACTGTCTCCCACGATATAGTATATAGACCATACTATTTAATCTGTAGGCCCAAGGAGTTAGTAGGACCAACTATACCCGTCGGTCATCCAGCGCATTATCACGCTATATAGCTCTAGGTAACCTACTGCGTTTAGTTAGTCGGGTTATAGTGGTCGGGGTAGTAGTTAAATGGTGATTATGTATATGAAAACTGCCTAATTGATTTTCACTGACCATTAAAACAGCGAAGTTGGTAAGATGATCACACGCACAGCGCACGATCTCCTCATCAGAGCGCTCATCAGATGATGGTATTCCAGAAACAAGAACACACCCATCTTGGGACCAATCTTCCTGCTCCTCATCCCAAAATGAACACATGGGATTCACGTATCCAGGCTAAACAACAATAACAACAAAATAGCAAGAAATGCATATAGACCAATAATAACATTTGTTAAATAAGGCATAAAGGAATAATGAATGATAGTTTTGATTGGTTTACTTTAAAGCCCATTTATCATTAGGGGAATCAAACACAGGAGTGAAAAACGAGTGAAAATAGATTGAAATACATATAATGTTTACATTTTCCCCTATATATGTATGTCTTCAAATAAAATTATCTATGAATACTGCTAAAGGCAGATTACAGTATAATACGTATACTATGTTAAAAAACGTTATTATGACATTTATTGTAATAGGTCTTACCATTAATGTAGTGAAGGTAAAGTTGATGAATTCGGTCAAGGCTGCGACTTTCCCTTGACCAATACTGAGAGATATCACGGGCGAGTTAGCTGATCGATTGAAGCCTTCATTATCTGCACTGATTGTGCGCAACGATTTAGAAATGAACAGGGCTGGAGTTGAAAATATATTGAAGTTGACCCGAACGTATTCACCACTGCCATTCGACGGCGATCCTGAGAGTGGGGCCGTGGACGAAATGACGGATGAAACTGAAGGTGGAATGTTGACCTGAGCGATGGTGCCTGGTCTTGTAGCAATGACGTCATCGCGGTCATCTTGGGTCGGAGCATTGATGGTAATATTGGCCTTGGTCAGGTCTGAAAGACTGGATCCAGCTAGCGAAAGCACAAGACCACGCATAACGTCGTCAGCAGATACACTCTGGACCTGTTGTGTGAATTAGGACTTCAATTATTATTGCTAGTATTATTATTGTTTTTATTATTACATTAATCATCATCATCATTGTTTCTTATATTACTATCATTATTATTGTATTATAATTTTGATGTATTATAATTTTGTTGTATTTACAAAAATATCAATATTATTAATTTATCATTGTTATTATTATTATTATCATCATTATCATCTGAAAATAGGGAACTGGGAGAGGAAACATTTGTCCATGCCTTCGCTTTGAAATACTCTCCCTTGACAAACTCGTAAAAGCAGGTCAGTTGAGGTGTTCAAAAATAATCTAAAATCGTTTCTATTTGGATTGGAATATAATTAGTAATTCCCTTTATTTCATTTTTCTGTAGTTTGTATGAAATTAAAATGCTTCGATGTGACTTCTCCTTCGCAATAGTGCACCTTGAGTATTTGATTTCAAGTGGCTTTGGCGTCTTACAAATCGAATATTATTATCATCAATAATCTTTGTTATTAATAATTTGATTTTTTTTTTATTTTTTTTAAAAATTCCATTAAATAATTTTGTGTCATTATTGTCATCATTATCATGATTTTTATCTTTGATGATGATTCGAAATGAAGCGATTAGCACTATGCACCTAAGTAGAGCATCCCACAAATTCAACATATGAAGAATCCTGCACACATAAATGCACAAAATAATAATGATGTTGTTTGGCAGATCTTTTTAAAACTACACAACTGCATACAGACAAATAATGAAAGTGTCGCGCCTTGTTGGACACCAAATAGAATGGGACCACAATGGACGAATGGCTGTGTCAAGTTTTGTTTAATTCTTTATTTTTTATATCCATGCAAACAATTATATAACTTGGAAGTGAAATTCTATATTTAAGTATACTGGTGGATATCTAATAAATTTTGTCGTAGCCTATGATATAAATGTAAAATCACCTGTACGGCTACATTTGGCTGCTGAATGTTGAGCATCCCACCATCGGCAACCTCAACACGACTGATTTGTTCCTCAAAAGCCTGGATAAATTTACTTATTGCCCCACTTTCTTCCTCTGCGGCTTCAAGTTCCTCTGTTTCTACCTGAGCTATATTGCTCACAATACTCGTTATAGACTTTGTTACCTGTCAATTCAAACACAAAGGATGACGATGAGTAGGAGAAATTTGCCGAAACTCGGAAATCAAACAGAATAACGATAGGGTATTAAAAACATGACAGTCTTAGCAAAGCTCTTCTTTTAAAGCTGTTACACAACTTCTGGATGAAGCAACTTTCAAGAGGTTAAAAATATATGAAAGGACAATGAGAGACTTAAATCTGTCATATAATAATTAAGATATTATACAAAATTAAAAGAAAAAAGTCTGTACGGGGTAAGGCTCTGGTAAATTCTTCATTCATCGTAGTTCAGCTTCAAGGCGTCCAATATTGTTAAAAACCGGTTATAGGATTTACCTCTTTTACATCTTTAACAATGTCATACATGGTATTGGAGGGAAGGCTCCAATTTTTGTACCATTCGATGATTATCAGAACCTAATAAAATTCATCAACCATCGAAAATTCATGTTCAATAGGATTGGTCTGGCATCGTTCAAAATACCTCTTCACTAGTAATATTTTGCTGCACAATGCTTGATGTTATCTCCGCCACAAACGTGATGTCATCTGATGTGATATCTTCGACGTTGGAAGTAACAGATGATACTTGCTGGCTCACTTCACCTGCATTTTCTTCACCTACGATTACCTAAGATTTGAGGAGAAAACTTTTACTATTTAATACTATTTTATGGTTTTAAATGACGTATTAAGAGCTAACGAATGAAGATAAGTAGACATGTTGCAAGTGCTTCAATTTTAGTATTGTCAATGAAAATGAATAAAAAATCGTCCAATGCATTTGTGTATAAAATTACATTAAAATAATCAGTAGAATTGATTGACCATGAGCTACTTAGTACCTGTTAGGCATGATTTCAAAGTTCTCAAATGTAAAGTAAGGATACACTTTAAAAGAAAAAGGTAATTGAGAAAGAAACATTAATGTTTATTGTGTAAAATTGTAATTGGTAAAAAATAACGTACCAAATCGGGTGAAATATACGAAATGATAGGTCATCTTATACTGATATTTTATTCGTATAAATATATTTATCCCATTTGGTTTAGGTTGTAATTATCAGTGGTATCTACAATTTACTAAAAACAATGGCATTACATATGAAGGTTTTTAAGAAAGCCCCTTTTTAATGATCGAATTTTGAAAAGAAAATTCCAAAAACCTGTGCAATTTCTGTGAGAATATCTGTGACATTTCTAAATGGTCCGCAATTATCCACAGGTTGCCACTGGCTCTGGGTAATACCATCGCCGATACACAGAGCCCGCCCAATCGGTTCATTGACTGTTCGGAATAAACATAAAATACACATATATTTTTATATATCAAAAGAACACCGGGAAACAGTTATTACCAGATACGAAAAAGGAAAGGGACATAAATGAAGTAAAGAAGAACTGTCTTTGATTTGAATTTCCTCAAGTGATTCAGTAATTCATGATTCTGGAACTATTCAATACATTCATCAACACGCGCGGATCTAGAATATTATTTTGGTCTGAGGGCTGGGGGCTTGGGGTTCCTGCATTCATTTTCTACGTGACCCTAGCTTTAATTAACTTGTATTCATGAACACAGTTTGGGAGCTTGAATATCTATGGGGAAGGGCTTTTATACCCTAAGCCCCTATCTTGATTTGCTAGTGTTGAATAATGAAGTGAAAACAAACTACATCGAAATAATATCGCTAGTGATATTCGCTTGCCTCGCAATGTATGGTCAACAAAGGATGTAAAAGATCACGACGTTTCGTGCGCCGCTGCAACACTTCGTCAGGTTATAAAACTTAGGTAAGCATAACTACATCGGTTGAACATCCTGATATCAAGGCTATTTTGGAAATGGTATTGCGAGTAGATGAGTCATTCTCGATCGCCCAGTTGCCATTCATTAACACTTTAGAAAAAAAAAACCGAAGTATTCTCTTGCGGCGGATCACCGCGCCATATCTGAACAATCCTTTAGGGAAAGTATCATATTGATCGTGCTATTCAACCTAATCCCCCGTACACTTCCCTAAATCAGAAATGAATGAAAAAACATCAAAACCAACCTTGAGTAGTGTTGAATGGACACATTCCTGTTGAATTCGCCCATGTTCCGTTTTCACCCACCGGAAATTCGACTTTTCCAAATCGAGAAGATATCCATGAGATATTCTGGCAAATAGCTTCACAAAAAAAGAGTGAACAAAAAGTATTTAAACAAATTCCCTAACAAATTTCAATTCCATGTTTGTTTATTTGATTCAGAGTGAATTGCTTAATTTTTCAAATTATCTTTAATTGTACATCTGGCATTGAAGTCATTACCTTAGCACCACTATCTCTCATTTGAACAATGTTACTAGGTCCCTTTAGTATACAAATTGACTTTCAGAACTACATGTATATCAGTGAATGAAATCATTACCGTTATCTTGAACTGAAATGGTGTTTGAATCGAGAAAACCGTTCGATTCATTGGCTAGACTATCAAGAGATAGACCAATAAGATCTTGTGTCTCCGTTGCCATCATATTGGTCTGCTCGATGTAGATATTCATGTCAGCTTTGACGCTTCCTGGTCTTAGGGCTCTGCATACTACTGATAGACCCTCCAAACCAGTACTGGTTCGGAGGCCTTGCGCCACCTTTACACAGATACAAAATAACAAACATAAAAGATAAAACGTTTAATAGATATTTCCCCTTCCATTGAAGACTGATACTCTTTCGTAACTTCTTAAAGTGTACGTCATAACCAAAAACCATCCACCAGCAATAGCGCGTCCATACTATTTTCATAAGAGTATACTTGTGATAGAATTGCATTTTTGAAAAAAAATGGAAGGAATGAATGATTAAAGTATCTGGACCGTACTAGTATGAAGCGGTGTAGTGAAAGAACTGAGATGACCGTTCGAATGCTTGAACGGCTTTTGCTGGAATATAATTTAATATATTTTGAAGTTTTTACAATCATAAAAAAAAGAAATTTGAGTACTAGTAAAGATGAAAAGTAATGTGTGAGCTTAATCGTTCTGCTGTCTCCGTTTGAAGAATGTCATAGAAAAAAGTGTCCCTTGAGAATAATGGTGCATCTCTGACCAAAATACATGAAAGTAATAAAGAGCACCACTGACTAAAGCCTGGTCGCACAAATTAACATGACTAGTCGTACATGAATCTTGTGGGTTCAAACTTGCAGGCTTATCAAAAATTATCTGAAGCAAGTATGGTCATAATTGATTAAACAGTTGCAAAGCTATTTGTCACAAGGGACCTCATATAATTCGCTTTGACCTTAGAATGTTACCCTCGACAACACCATAATGGGAAGGTCCCCCAAATGCATATCTTACTCAAGTTTGTTTACAACAACATTAATGATTGCTGATTTATTTGTCACAAGAGAAGCCAAGTTTACAGATAAACGGATGAAGAAGGCCTTACGGACCCTTTAGTCTTGTTTCCACCATAAGAAAAACTGAAAATGTTTTATGCTACATGTACGTGCAATCAACCTTTATCAAATCTCTGCTCGGCAAAGCAGGGCTCCCACTTAGCCGAGTTGGAGGCTCGAGTTGTGGCGAGCTGGCTCGATCTTATGGCAAGCCGTTTTATTTATATTTCTTGATATCACGAAATCGAATTCTTGATATCAAGAATTACCATTGCTTTACAACGTAAAATTATTTCTTGATATCAAGAAATATGTTTTAATGATAAAACTGCTTGCCATAAGATCGAGCCAGCTCGCCACAACTCGAGGCTCCAACTCGGCTAAGTGGGAGCCTTGTTACTAGCACAACGTACTCGCACTCTATAATTCAGTTGTATATTTTAGACCCAAAACAATATATTAGGCCTTGCCTTGCAGGATTTTACAAGAACGGGATAGGCCTTTTTGATAGGCACCAATTATTTGTAGGGTATACTTACATATGTGCTGATGTTGAGCGCCGTTTCTCTAAAGAGTGTAGACGTTTGGTCATAAAGCTCATCGCTGAATGGAATGGCAAATCTAGCATTCAAAACCATTATATTGGTCAGATCTGAAAATAACAAAAATACACATCGAGAATCAGTGGCACAGATTCAGGGGAGGGCACAGGGGAACCCCCCCCCCCCCCGGCCCGAAGAAGAGGGGGACATTCTCCTCAAGATATTTCTATAGTGAAACTGGTTGTCCGGAAGTCATTTTAAATACCATTTTCTTCAAGAGGGCTGATAGCAAACACATACTAGTAACTTAAACATAGCTTTCAGAAAATGTCTTTATATACGAGTTTCATATTAAATCAGTACTTGTATGAGAACATTTCTCTCATACGTTACGCCTAATGTACCCAGTATAATCACGTTCGTTTTGCAATACGAGCGTGTATGTCTCAATTGCGATCGAAATATTTGTTTTAATTTGTTATTTTCACGCATAGCATTAAAAATAATAGAAATCCCTTTTCTGTACAGTGCGTCCCAGAAAAAAACGAAACCGAGTATTATCAGTTTAGTTCAGTTCAGTTTATTTTATTTTTGCACGGCACCAACTTCAGCCAAAGCCGTGCGCAATACAAAAATTACATGTACAATTATAAGATAACACATATTATCATAACATATGAAAAATTAAAAAACAAAAAACAAAAACAAAAACAAGAACATAAGTATGTGCCATTTATTAATTATAATTCTGGTTATTAAAAAGTTATGATAAAACATTGATAATTCTAGGTTTCATTTTTTCGGGGACGCACTGTATATATATTTTTCCAAAAGAAGTTAGATAAAGACAAATGCTAATAAAGTTTATCTGTTATAAAGTCAATGTAAATGTATTTTGAATGGATAATTTACTCATCATTTGCCAAGTTGCCTGACAAAGACAAAATTGTACAGGCCTGTAATACTAAGGATGTATAAGGTTTTAATAACATATGACTGCTAGCTCCATGCTCCCTTCATGAAACTTCTCGAAATCACAAAGGTATTCCATGTGTTTCGAGAGCAGAGATGAAATCTGGCTAGAGTGCACAAGTTACCTTCATTAAAGGTTAGACACAACCCTATATTTTTTATTTTTCTGTGATTTGCTTCAAGCAAAGGTTTTACCTTTGATATATACAGATGCTCGCATCGTGTCTAAAGTTTCTCCATTTCTCTGCGAGCCTCGGCAGAAGTAATACCCGATGTCACTTGGCGTTACAGACATGATCATCAAAGGATTCTGATTTTCACTGTTAGGCAAAAGGACATCGTCTTTGTACCAGTGGTATCGCTTGGCATTGTTGAAACTACATGTCAGCTCCACATTGGCATTGGTGTTGACTATCTGGCTTGAAGGATGGACAGAAACCTCCAAAGGAACTGTATTCGAGGTAGGATTTAGTACATATGACGGCGAATGAAGTCATTTTCTTTTTCAATATTGATGATGATAATGATAATAATGATGTTGACAAAAATAATAAAAGTAATAATGATGATAATTATAAGATGAAGAAGGCGAAGAAGAGGAATAAAAAAGACAATACAAATAGTTATAACAAAAATACCACTACTAATGATGATAATACACATTGAAATAAAACTAATACCATAATACCATTTCATTACATTTATATATATACGTAAACACTAAGGCACTTGCTCATGGCACTGACAACGTACTATTATGATTCCTACACTAGCTAGCCTAGCTGCCCTAAGGCCCTGAAAGCATTCAAGGAATACATTCCTAGCATGTTTCAATTTTCTACACCTCGGTAGATAGTGACAAATGTCTTGTCAAAAGACAGTGGTGCTGTCCTGAATCGCGTACCATGTGATCCCAAGGAGGTAGTAATAGCTCCTTGGTGATCCTCAGTCCGGTGACGTATGCATAAGACCATCTTTAACATGTTAAGGAGGACTGGACTTCTTAGATTTAATTCAAAAATTAAGCAAGTAATGGTGTCCAGGCATGATTGATTTTTGTATTAAATCCTTTAGGGTTAGGGTTTAGGGTTAGAGTTAAGGTTAGGGTAAGGCTTACTACTAGGGTTAGGGTTAGAATTAAAGTTAGGGTATGCGGGGACAACTCGGATCCTTTGATACATGCACACGTATAGAATAGAACGACCTTAAAAGCGACAACATATGAATAAAAGCCCCCCCCCCCCCGCCCCTCCCCAGAGAAGGAAAATGTTTTAACATTTTCTGTCATATCCAGGGATGATGTAAAGACATGTGATTTACTTGTTCAAAAATAAAAAGGGGGTTGACTCATTTCTGAGGGTAAAACATTGTGTCAAAACACTTTCCAAATGTTGGTTCCTATTCACCCGTTTTTCGAAACAATGTAAATCATGGATCTGCAAGACACAATACCCTTAAGATGTATACAAGTAAATCCAAACATATGACTTACAAGTTGGTTCATCGCCTGGTGTCGTTCCCGGAGTTGTTCCCGGTGTTGTAACTGGAGTTGTTACAAGTGTTGTTACCGGTGTTGTTCCGGTTGTTGTTCCTGGCGTTGTTAGCGGTGTTGTTCCAGGTGTTGTTCCGATTGTTGTTCCTGGCGTTGTTACTGGTGTTGTTCCTGATGTTGTTCCGGTTGTTGTTCCTGGCGTTGTTACCGGTGTTGTTCCAGTTGTTGTTCTGGTTGTTGTTCCTGGCATTGTTACCGGTGTTGTTCCAGGTGTTGTACCGGTTGTTGTTCCTGGGGTTGTTACCGGTGTTGTTCCAAGTGTAGTTCCAGTTGTTGTTGCTGGCGTTGTTAACGATGTTGTTTCAGGTGTTGTTCCGGTTGTTGTTCCTGGCGTTGTTACCAGTGTTGTTCCAAGTGTAGTTCCAGTTGTTGTTGCTGGCGTTGTTACCGGTGTTGTTCCAGGTGTTGTTCTGGTTGTTGTTCCTGGCGTTGTTACTGGTGTTGTTCCTGATGTTGTTCTGGTTGTTGTTCCTGGCGTTGTTACCAGTGTTGTTCCAAGTGTAGTTCCAGTTGTTGTTGCTGGCGTTGTTACCGGTGTTGTTCCAGGTGTTGTACCAGTTGTTGTTCCTGGCGTCATTCCCGGTGTTGTTCCAGGTGTTGTTCCTGGCGTCGTTCCCGGTGTTGTTCCAGGTGTTGTCCCAGGTGTTGTTCCTGGCGTCGTTCCTAAGGTTGTTCCATATGTTGCTCCTGAGGGAAAAATAAAATGTTATACACAATACTAAAGAGCTATACTCCAATCTTAAAGATTGCTGCTCTTAATTTCAAGTGGTTATCAGTTGCTTTTTGGAATTGGAAATTGCATATATCAGGTGTGACAAATGCTCGTAGCTGCTCACAGAGGAAATTACCACATGACATTCAGAGAACCCAAATTCTTAAAAGTACAATAGTGTGTCAAACTTTATAACCAAACTAACCAAACTTGACCTGACCTGGTGTTGTGCCTGGTGTAGTACCCGGTGTAGTTCCCGGAGTGGTACCCAGTGTTGTGCTAGGTGTTATAGCAGGCGTTGTTACAGGTGTTGTTCCAGGGGTTGATCCTGGCGTTGTTCCCGGTGTTGTAGCTATCGTTGTCACTGGTGTTGTTCCAGGTGTTGTTACAGGGGTTGATCCTGGTGTTGTTACCGGTGTTGTAGCTGGCGTTGTCACTGGTGTTGTTCCCGGTGTTGTTCCAGGGGTTGCTCCTGGCGTCGTTTCTAAGGTTGTTCCCAATGTCGTTCCTGAGGGGAAAAATAAAATGTTATACACAATACTAAAGAGCTATACTCCAATCTTAAAGATTGCTGCTCTTAATTTCAAGTGGTTATCAGTTGCTTTTTGGAATTGGGAATTGCATATATCAGGTGTGACAAATGCTCGTAGCTGCTCACAGAGGCAATTACCACATGACATTCAGAGAACCCCAATCCTTGAAAGTACAATAGTGTGTCAAACTTTATAACCAAACTAACCAAACTTGACCTGACCTGGTGTTGTGCCTGGTGTAGTACCCGGTGTAGTTCCCGGAGTGGATCCCAGTGTTGTTCTAGGTGTTGTAGCTTGCGCTGCTACAGGTGTTGTTACAGGGGTTGATCCTGGCGTTGTTCCCGGTGTTGTAGCTGGCGTTGTCACTTGTGTTGTTCCAGGTGTTGTTCCATTGGTTGTTCCTAGACTTATTCCTGGGGTTGTTCCCAGTGTTGTTCCTGAGGGAAAGATTAGATGTTATACGCATTACTAAAGAACTTTACACCTATATTCAAGATTTCTGCTCATAATTTTATGTGGTTATCAGTTGCTCTTAGTCCGGTCTGTTAACAAAATTTTGGGGACAAATCTGACCATTAGGGCTTCAATATTACACCACACGACTCGCTGAACCCAGATCAGTTTGGTTTCAGGAAGTTCCATTCAACTGATTTAGCACTACTCCAACCATTTTTTATTTAAATTGGCACCAATTATTTGTATCTCCATGCACTCTAGAATCTAGACTATAGCTCTAGATCTAGAGAGTAAAAAAGTAAAAATGAATGTCAGTCAAATGAAATTGTGAACAAATGCTACGAAAAATCGACAAGAAATTGCCAATTTGTACACAAAAATAGTGATTAGTCTATACATTTTACTCTCCATTGCTAATTTAGAAAGTTAAATGTCCATCCCAGATTTAATAGTTTTCATTAATGGCAGAGTGTACTTAGTTTAACAGAAGTGGATTTAAATTTCCTACTGACTTTTGGACTAAGATCATGTAGACCTACAAACTTGTAATTCAAAACATTCCGGATCAAAAGACTGTGAAAGATGCCACTAAAAAGTAAAATGTGACACTACTAGTACTGAGTAGACTACTAGATCTAATTTGACTTGACATCCTTACCAATGCAAGCAGTGCTATCACCGTTTAATTCATATCCAGAGTCACACGAGCTACAGATGTAAGAGCCAGGCGGTGTGTTTGAACACACTCCATTTGCACAGAGCGTTGCATCCTCCGTGCATTCGTCGATATCTAGGAAAAGTTAACATTTTATTCACCCATAGCGTGCAGTCAAGAGTTTTTTAAGTTCTAATTGAATCAGCTTTTCATCTTAGATTGCATGGCACCAATTATTTGTATCTCCATGCACTCTAGAATCTAGACTAGATCTAGATGTAGAGAGTAAAAAAGTAAAAATGAATAACAAATGAAATCGTGAACAAATGCTACGAAAAATCAACAAGAAATTGCCAACTTGTACACAAAAATAGTGATTAGTCTATACATTTTACTCTCCATTGCTAATTTAGAAAGTTAAATGTCCATTTCAGATTGAATAGTTTTCATTGATGGCAGAGTGTACTTTAACAGAAGTGGATATAAATTTCCTACTGACTTTTGGACTAAGATCATGTAGACCTAGATCTACAACTTGTAATTCAGAGCATTCTGGATCAAAAGACTGTTAAAGATGCCACTAAAAAGTAAAATGTGACACTACTAGTACTGAGTAGACTACTAGATCTAATTTGACTTCACATCCTTACCAGTGCATGCAGTGCTATCACCGTTTAAATCATATCCAGATTCACACGAGCTACAGGTGTAAGAGCCCGGCGGTGTGTTCAAACACATTCCATTTGCACAGGCCATATCCACCACGCATTCGTCAATATCTAGGAGAAAAGTTTTTAAAAAATTCACCCATAGCATGCAGTAAAGAGTTTTCTAAAGTTCTAATTGAATCACCTTTTCATCTTAGATTGCATGGCACCAATTATTTGTATCTCCATGCAGTCTAGAATCTAGACTAGATATAGATCTAGAGAGTAAAAAAGTAAAAATGAATGTCAAATGAAATCGTGAACAAATGCTACGGAAAATTAACAAGAAATTGCCAACTTGTACACAAAAATAGTGAATCCTCTATACACTTTACTCTCCATTGCTAATTTAGAAAGTTAAATGTCCATCTCAGATTGAATAGTTTTCATTAATGGCAGAGTGTACTTTAACAGAAGTAGATTGAAATTTCCTACTGACTTTTGGATTAAGATCATGTAGACCTACAACTTGTAATTCAAAATATTTACTCTCCATTGCTAATTTAGAAAGTTAAATGTCCATCTCAGATTTAATAGTTTTCATTAATGGCAGAGTGTACTTTAACAGAAGTAGATTGAAATTTCCTACTGACTTTTGGATTAAGATCATGTAGACCTACAACTTGTAATTCAAAATATTCCGGATCAAAAGACAGTTAAAGATGCCACTAAAAAGTAAAATGTGACACTACTAGTACTGAGTAGACTCCTAGATCTAATTTGACTTCACATCCTTACCAGTGCAAGCAGTGCTATCATCGTTTAATTCATATCCAGATTCACACGAGCTACAGGTGTAAGAGCCCGGCGGTGCGTTCGAACACAATCCATTTGCACAGGCCATATCCACCACGCATTCGTCAATATCTAGGAGAAAAGTTTTTAAAAAATTCACCCATAGCATGCAGTAAAGAGTTTTCTAAAGTTCTAATTGAATCAGCTTTTCATCTTAGATTGCATGGCATCAATTATTTGTATCTCCATGCAGTCTAGAATCTAGACTAGATATAGATCTAGAGAGTAAAAAAGTAAAAATGAATGTCAAATGAAATCGTGAACAAATGCTACGGAAAATCAACAAGAAATTGCCAACTTGTACACAAAAATAGTGATTCCTCTATACACTTTACTCTCCATTGCTAATTTAGAAAGTTAAATGTCCATCTCAGATTGAATAGTTTTCATTAATGGCAGAGTGTACTTTAACAGAAGTAGATTGAAATTTCCTACTGACTTTTGGATTAAGATCATGTAGACCTACAACTTGTAATTCAAAAAATTTACTCTCCATTGCTAATTTAGAAAGTTAAATGTTCATCCCAGATTTAATAGTTTTCATTAATGGCAGAGTGTACTTAGTTTAACAGAAGTGGATTTAAATTTCCTACTGACTTTTGGACTAAGATCATGTAGACCTACAAACTTGTAATTCAAAACATTCCGGATCAAAAGACTGTGAAAGATGCCACTAAAAAGTAAAATGTGACACTACTAGTACTGAGTAGACTACTAGATCTAATTTGACTTCACATCCTTACCAGTGCAAGCAGTGCTATCACCGTTTAATTCATATCCAGAGTCACACGGGCCACAGGTGTAAGAGCCATCTGTGTTCGAACAAATTCCATTTGGACAGGCCATATCCACCACGCATTCGTCAATATCTAGGAGAAAAGTTAACATTTTTTTCACCCATAGCATGCAGTCAAAGAGTTTTCTAAAGTTCTAATTGAATCAGCTCTTCATCTTAAACTGGCACAAATTATTTGTATCTCCATGCAGTCTAGAATCTAGACTAGATCTAGATGTAGAGAGTAAAAAAGTAAAAATGAATAACAAATGAAATCGTGAACAAATGCTACGAAAAATCAACAAGAAATTGCCAACTTGTACACAAAAATAGTGATTAGTCTATACATTTTACTCTCCATTGCTAATTTAGAAAGTTAAATGTCCATTTCAGATTGAATAGTTTTCATTGATGGCAGAGTGTACTTTAACAGAAGTGGATATAAATTTCCTACTGACTTTTGGACTAAGATCATGTAGACCTAGATCTACAACTTGTAATTCAGAGCATTCTGGATCAAAAGACTGTTAAAGATGCCACTAAAAAGTAAAATGTGACACTACTAGTACTGAGTAGACTACTAGATCTAATTTGACTTCACATCCTTACCAGTGCATGCAGTGCTATCACCGTTTAAATCATATCCAGATTCACACGAGCTACAGGTGTAAGAGCCCGGCGGTGTGTTCAAACACATTCCATTTGCACAGGCCATATCCACCACGCATTCGTCAATATCTAGGAGAAAAGTTTTTAAAAAATTCACCCATAGCATGCAGTAAAGAGTTTTCTAAAGTTCTAATTGAATCAGCTTTTCATCTTAGATTGCATGGCAACAATTATTTGTATCTCCATGCAGTCTAGAATCTAGACTAGATATAGATCTAGAGAGTAAAAAAGTAAAAATGAATGTCAAATGAAATCGTGAACAAATGCTACGGAAAATCAACAAGAAATTGCCAACTTGTACACAAAAATAGTGAATCCTCTATACACTTTACTCTCCATTGCTAATTTAGAAAGTTAAATGTCCATCTCAGATTTAATAGTTTTCATTAATGGCAGAGTGTACTTTAACAGAAGTAGATTGAAATTTCCTACTGACTTTTGGATTAAGATCATGTAGACCTACAACTTGTAATTCAAAATATTTACTCTCCATTGCTAATTTAGAAAGTTAAATGTCCATCTCAGATTTAATAGTTTTCATTAATGGCAGAGTGTACTTTAACAGAAGTAGATTGAAATTTCCTACTGACTTTTGGATTAAGATCATGTAGACCTACAACTTGTAATTCAAAATATTCCGGATCAAAAGACAGTTAAAGATGCCACTAAAAAGTAAAATGTGACACTACTAGTACTGAGTAGACTCCTAGATCTAATTTGACTTCACATCCTTACCAGTGCATGCAGTGCTATCATCGTTTAATTCATATCCAGATTCACACGAGCTACAGGTGTAAGAGCCCGGCGGTGCGTTCGAACACAATCCATTTGCACAGGCCATATCCACCACGCATTCGTCAATATCTAGGAGAAAAGTTAACAAAAAATTCACCCATAGCATGCAGTCAAGAGTTTTCTAAAGTTATAATTGAATCAGCTTTTCATCTTAAACTGGCACAAATTATTTCTATCTCCATGCACTCTAGAATCTAGACTAGATATAGATCTAGAGAGTAAAAAAGTAAAAATGAATGTCAAATAAAATCGTGAACAAATGCTACAAAAAAATAAACAAGAAATTGCCAACTTGTACACAAAAATACTGATTCGTCTATACATTTTACTCTCCATTGCTAATTTAGAAAGTTAAATGTCCATCTCAGATTGAATAGTTTTCATTAATGGCAGAGTGTACTTTAACAGAAGTGGATTGAAATTTCCTACTGACTTTTGGATTAAGATCATGTAGACCTACAACTTGTAATTCAAAACATTCCGGATCAAAAGACTGTGAAAGATGCCACTAAAAAGTAAAATGTGACACTACTAGTACTGAGTAGACTACTAGATCTAATTTGACTTCACATCCTTACCAGT